GGCTCTGAGGTGCGGGCTGCAATCCTTGGCCCATGAGGTGGGGAGGAGAGCTGCCCAGTGCTCCAGGACTGTTCCCTGGCAGGGAGAGGAAGCGCACAGCCGCTGGGTTCTCTCCCCTAGGGCCATACCCTGAGGGGAGAACCCCCTCCCCACTGGGCAGCTTGGGAAGAAGGGGAACAGGCCAGGGGGTGATTCCTTTCCAATGTGGTTGGCAAGTACCTTACCAGAGGCCCTGATTGAACTAGCCCTAAAATGCTCCCATACATTGCTGAGTCGAAGGTCATGATAATGAGAGAAGCTTCCTCAAGGGAAGCCTGGAGCTGGGGGAGGGGATGCCTCAGGCCAAGCTAGACCCCTATTAAGCCCTGTGGTGGAGTCCATGGAGAGACAAGTCAGGCATGGGGGGGCGGTGCTCTGAGGGAGGGCCAGGCATGTCCAGTCAGACATGTGATGGGATAAGGGAAAGGGTCAGGCTTGTGCGGACACGTCGGGGCTGTGGAGGACGGGCCAAGTACGTATAGAGATAAATGTGAGCTATAGTTGGGCCAGCCTGTGGCTCACTCGGGAGAGTGCAGTGCTGATAACACCAAGGCCCCGGGTTCGGATCCCATATAGGGATGGCCGGTTTGCTCACTGGGTGAGCATGGTGCTGACAACACCAAGTCAAGAGTTAAGATCCCCTTACCGGTCATCTTTAAAAAAAAAAAAAAAAAAAAGTGAGCTATAGAGCCAGGACCCCCGCCTCCATCAGGGCTGAAGCTTAAGAGTTCTCAGGAATTGGTGCCCCTCTGTCCCCCTTCCCCGCCATCACTAATTTCCTAATGGAAGTGGGGAGGTCAGGGGATCCCATTTCAGGGCAAGTAGGCAACTGCTGATTCAAAGCCCCAGGTTTCAGGGTCGAAGACTGTCCTTCAACATTGGCACTGGGAACCTTCTACAGATAGAAAAACTCAGGACTCCTTGCTTTGGACACACGAGGGAAAGAGGGAGAGAGTTTAAGACAGAAGGCCCCATTAGATCTGGGCCAGAGCCACTTCCAGAGAGGAGCCAAGGAAGCCATTTGGGCTTCCTGGGTCATAGAGATCTAAGTTGAAAACCAGCTCTGAGGGCCGGCCCGTGGCTCACTTGGGAGAATGTGGTGCTGATGACTCCAAGTCAAGGGGTTAAGATCCCGTTACTGGTCATCTTTAAAAAAAAAAAGAAAAGAAACCCAGCTCTGTTCCTCACATGCTGTGTGACTTAGGACAAGTGAATAAACCTCTCTGGGCCTCACATTCCTCATCTGCAAAATGGGGCTAATACAACTTCCCAGAGGGCTGTTGGGAATATTACATGATATAAACCATGTGCAGAGCTGAGTTAAGGCAGGACTGGCCCAGCTCAGGAGTCAGTAAAGGCTGCTGAAACCTTGCTGAAATAAACCAGAAATATGGTGTGGTGAAATCAGGTCTTCTTACTAGAAACTCCTTCCATAACTTGCAGAATGTCAGTTGGTCTTCTCCAACCTCCACAGAAGCTGGTGCCCTCCAGTGGGAATCAAAAACATCACTTACCAGCACTCACCCAGGCCCCAGGAATAAATATTTTTGAAAACACTGACTTGAGAAGGCACCAAATTATCAACCTACCCATAGTGCCTAGAAGGCTCTGCCTGAGCCAATTCCATAGAAGCTCCTCCTGTCAAGGACCCATTCCTGTGAGAGGTAAGCTCACCGCTCCTAATAAACCAGGAGTCCAGACTATACCTAGGCAGGAGTCACAACTGAAATGCTTGCAAATGTTTGGTCCCAGGTGAAACAACAGGGAGTGGTGAGGACTTGGGCAATTGGAGAGCAGCTTCAGTCAACTATTGCCATGTGGGAATATGGGGGAAAGGGAAGTAGCATTAGGATAGAGCCCCCAGACCTCTCCCAACTTCATCCTCTGCCCCATCATAGGTGCTTCCTAAGGCACCCTTCCCCTAGGCCCCGTGTTTCTGTTTGCTACTGCTGCATAACAAACAATACAAATTTAGCCCCTAATAACACTCATTGAATATCTCACAGTTCCTTAGGTCAGAAGTCCACGCAGGTTCAGCAGAGTTCTCTGCTTAGGGTCCCACAAGGCTGAAATCAAGGAGTCGGCCAGCCAGGGCTCTTACCTGCGACTCTGTGGAAGAATCTGCTTCTGTGTTCGTTCTTCTTCTTGGCAGAATTCACTTCCTTGTGGTTGCAGGACTGAGTTCCCTGTTGCCTTGCTGGCTGTCAGTGGGGCTGCTTGAGGAGCCTCTCTGGTCCTTCTCATGCTTCAAATCTCTCAGGCTGTTCTTTCTGCTACCAGCCAAGTGGAGAGGCTGCTCTGTCAGCCAGAGACCATGGGCACACAGACTAGGATGGGTCCATCTTGGAGCCAGCACAGGGCAAGGTGGCTTGGGGCTAGCTGGGGGTGGGGTGGGGACAAAGACCAGGTCAGGTGGGCAACCAACCCTCCCCCACCTCTCAATTTGAGTTGGCCTCCAGTCCTTCCTCCCAAATCATCCTGTCTGCCCCCAATCTCAGCCTCTGAATCTCCAAAAGGACCTTCTCAGGCCCTTCCCACCTGCCTACCCTCCAGCCCTAGCTGGGCAGGGGTAGTGGATCTCAGCATCCTGGAAACTCTGAGGGCCCCAATCACTCACCTGCCTCTACTTCCTGTACCCCCATGGGTAACAGAGCCCCATTTCTCTCCCAGGCTCCCCTGCAGCCCTCCCCAGGTGCCCCTTTCAGTTCTGCAAACACACTTCCCTTCAAGGGTCCCCACCAACCAGGCTCCCACCAAGGCCCAGCAGAGGGGCTGGAAGGAGACCCTCCCCATCCATCCAAGCGTGGGAGCTGAGTAAGAGGCGGGGAAATGAATATTAATTTATCATGATTAGGCAAATCCGGCAGGGAGAGCCGATTCCGGAGGAGGCTAAAAAGATGAATTTCAGCAATAAAATTAAATAAGGACAGACGGGCAGCCTCTCCTCCCTCCCGCTTTGCTGATCTCTCTCTTTCTTGCAATTTATGAGGCCAATTATGAAGATGAGGTTGGAAGTTCCTGGAACTTCACTAAATGCAAACGGCGGTCCCTGCTGTTCCCATCAAATTAATTAACCGCACGCTATTGATGGCCGCTCAAGGCTGACGCGGACGGCCCGCCCTGCGGCCTCCTCCATGGACAAGAGGACCCAGAGTCCAGGGCTCAGCCGGGGCTTTACCACCTTCCATGGTCCCTGCCTAGCGCTACCGGGGACTTCTGGGGACCCCTCCCCTCCTCCAGCCCATGGGCCCTGCCTGGGCCTTGACCTCAGAAAGGGCTCCTTTGGGGGATCCTGTTGAAGGAGTGAAGAGGGGGAGTGAGGTCAAAGCGCGCTACCGGGGACTTCTGGGGACCCCTCCCCTCCTCCAGCCCATGGGCCCTGCCTGGGCCTTGACCACACAGGGGCCTGCACAGAGAGGCCTAGACAGACAGGCACACAAGGACACATGCCCAGGGCTGTGCACACACGTAGTCAGTTACAAAATTATGAACACGCAGCACAAAAACACTGGGCCCAGGAATGTCCATTAGGCACACAACGACCACGCAGTCAAACACAGACACATATACCCAGGGCACCTGCATATGTACAGTGACAGATGAGCTGAGGGGACTAGAGCCACATGGCTGAGGGCATCTCAGTAAGGGAAGCGAGGCACACTGTGTCTGGGGCTGTGGGACTGTTTGGTCAGTGCCAGGCCCAAGTCCAGCAGGGCAAAGGTGCCACTGTCGCTGTCCAGAAGGAGGTTCCACAGCCACTAAAGCAGCAAGCAGTGGCCTCCCTTGCCTGATGTCTGTACTGTCCTCCAGTGGCATCGTCAAAGCTCCCACAGTCCCTCAACCCTTGGGCCTCTCCTCATCTCTGGGCCTAGGGGCCTTCTTCAGGGATGTTACCTTTAGATTTTTTGCTGGGGCTTGGCTTCTGTGCTGACCTCCAATAAGGGGACCAGGGCTTGTTGAGCCCTTTGAGAGGACGATGGGGATGAGACCTGGCCCAGAGTCAAGTCAGTTTGGAGCAGCAGCCCTGAGGGGTCCCCAGTTCCAGAGTTCAGAAGCAGGGCTGCCCAGTAGCTTAAGAGTTCTGGAAAACTAGCTGGCTGGTGCTCAGACTGAAGGGCAGAGTGGACACAGGGCCACAGGCCTTGGGGCTGAGCCCATCCTAGGCCTGGGGCAGCTCCCGATGTGTCTGCAGAGTCTGGGTAACAGCAGGTTTCCCCAATGGCTATATCTTCCATGTGAAGTTGATCTCTGAGATGATTTGGGAGGGCTCAGAAAGGGCTCCTTTGGGGGATCCTGTTGAAGGAGTGAAGAGGGGGAGTGAGGTCAAAGTCTTCTGCAAGTTGTAGTCCTTGGTCCTGGCAAGAGGAATCTCATTCCTTTTAAAGGGGCAGGAGTTCCCTAATTCTCTTAAAGACACAGGACAAAGGGTCTGGGTTTTCCATTGCCAGCCCTTGGAAATGCAGGACAGGATCACTGGGCTTGACCACTTTGCCATGCCCACTCTAGGTGCTGGCTGGGTGGTCCCTGGCCCTGTGCCCCCACCTGCTCCCCACGAGCACCCAGAAGCCAGGAGGCAAGTTGGGCTTATCTGCTCCCCTTTCGGTGCAATTTTATGGCCAAGACCAGTGTCATCATCCAGGCCCTGGGAAAAGATGAGGCACCCAGCTCGGCAGGTTTGGGGCAGAGCAGCCCAGAGAGGACTTGTATCTTGGCACAAAGTATCTGAGAAAAACTGAAATTAAGGGAGGCTCAGACAGAGCATGTGGTGCTGATATGACAGGGCTGGGGCTTATGGCTTTGCCCATCACCAGACTCTCCCCTACTCCCGGCATGTGAGGCTCGCCCCCCTCCCACACACTCCCACCACACTTCAGAGGACTTCCCCCACCTCGCAGCAGGGTCTGCTCACACCCACAGGCCCTCTGCCTACTTTGTACAGGGAGAGACCAAGACTCACACTGTCTATTGAATTTCTATTATTGCAGTAAAAATGATAAACTTAGTGGCTTAAAACAACTTGAAGTTATCTCACAGTTCTGGGCTTAAAAGCCGACACAGGTCTCACAGGAACAAAATATCCAGGTATCAGCAGGGCTGCATTCTTTTCTGAAGGCTCTAGAGTAGAATCTGTTTCCTGCCTTTTCCAGCTTCTAGAGCCTGCCTGCATTCCTTGGCTAGTGGCCCCTTCCTCCATCTTTGAAGCCAGAAACATCACATCTCTTTGACACTTCTTCTGTAGTCACGTTTCTCTGATTGCAGCTGGGAAAGGTTCTCTGCCTTCAAGGATTCGTTTTTACATTGGGCCAACTGTATTATCCAAGATAACACCTCATTTCAAAATGCTTAACTTTAATCACATCTGCCAAGTTCCTTTAGCCAAGTAAAATAACATATGCATAGGTTCCAGGGATTAGGATGTGGACATCTTTGGGGGACCATTATTCTGCCTACTCCTGGTCTGGCCCAGGACAACCCTGGCTCAGGGATAGAGTGAAGAGGGACTAGGCTGGGGCAGAAGGTAGGCTTATGGGGTCCTCCTTCTTCTCTGGACCAGGTGGTGATTGGATGGTGGGTGTGTGGAGTGCTGTTGCTGGACAGGACCTCAGTCCCTTACTGGCAGGATGGGGGACTGGTCTGAAAGCCTGAACCAGGTCCAGGCTCTGCAGTGACTAGGGAAACCCCCAACACTCACATTCCTTGCTTAGTTTGGTCTCAGCGAACCACCTCTTCCCCCAAACTGGGCAGCCTTTCTCAAGACACAAAAATCCCTTCAATGGCTCCTTTGTCTCAGTGGCTTTTCTTCTGGGCTCCTGTGTCTTGACCGAGCAGCCAAGAAGATATCACCCCCAGGATGGGCCTTTGGAGGGTGTGGGCACTCTCCCTCTTCAGCCCATGATTTCCTGTTGCCCTCACCAGGCTTGGGGACCAGGATTCTATAAGGCTTGAAGTTGGTCCCCGAATTCTGAGTCTCCTGGAGGAAGGGGTTAAGGCAGATGGGGAGGGGAATCAGACCCCTGATTTCAGACAAAGAAGAGGTCAGCACTATCTCTCCCTGTGGTTCTGGGAAGGGTCTGTGTGAGGAAGGGGCCAATTACCCCATGACCCACTGCCCACTGGTTCCCTCTGCTCCTCGCCCTGGAGGCCTGTTCCTTGGGCCTGGAGCAGGCTGGGGCACCAAAGTGGGAAGCAAAAGGAGAGAAGCAACTCCCATATTTGGACCCAGACACCCCAGTCTGTGGGCTTCTGCCAACTCTGATCCTCGCTGGGGACAGTGGCAGGCACTGAGGGGCCAGTCCGGAGTAGGACTAGCAGAGCTCATAAGGAGGGGCCAAAAGCAGCCCTAACACCTGGGGGACCCAGGGATTTCCCCAGCCCCTCTCCTGTCTACCTCAGGCCCACCGCAGCTCTTGGCAGCAACGCCTCCCTGAGAGTAGCAGCTCTGGGTGGGAGAGGCTTGCCCCTCACAAAGGCTTCTGGGCCTCTGATGTGGCCAACGTCTCTCGGGTTGACACTGAACTGTGAAAGGGCTCTCCAGGCCCCAGGGCTTCTGGTTTCTTCCCCAGCATGACTCATGCAGGCAAGGCCCCACAGCTTGGACTTCAGGGGTCTGAGTTTGAGGTGGAGGGCCCACTCTCAGATACTGGGATCCCATAATTGAGACCAGGGAGACAAAGGCCAGCTCTGGGACACTCTGCAAGTTACTGCCAGAGACCCAGGACTCGACACACACACACACACACACACACACACACATCAGACCCAACACACTTGAAGTTGCAGCCCATGTCTTGGGCCTAAAATCCCCTCATGCCCTGCCTCAACACCTCCCATGTATGGGGCCTCTCCAGGCTCCTTGCTGCTCCTCCAATCCAGCCTCCTTCTCCTACCCCTGTATCTGTTACTCCTCATCCTTGGGATGCCCAAATTTTCTAGCATACTCCCCCTCCCCGACTGATCCTCTGCCCTGCAAGGCCCAGCCTCAGGAAACCATCCTAAGCCCACTAGCAGGACTCGCTCCTTTCTGCTCTATCAAACTAAGCCCTGAGGCTCGACTGGCAACCCCCTACCAACCCAGCCTTCTCCTGAGTGCCAGCACCCAGCATCCTCCCTAAAGCTGGTCCTTACTCGTCCCCAGACAGAGCCTGCAGACCCCTCTCAAATAGGCTATTTCCCTCTCTTCCTCCAGGCAGCCTTCCCTGACTGCCCCTACCTGTCAGCAGTGCTCAGATCACCATTTAGTTGCTCCTCTTTCCTATGAGGCTCATCATCTTTGTTTGTGTCCCCCAATAGCCTGGTCTATGACAGAACCCACAGGAGACGCTGATGGGTGGATAGAGAGGTGCTCCTCATGCTGACTCCATGATTCTCTTTTAACATCCACCCCTGCCCCCATTTGGAGTTCAGGAGCTCATGGGCCAGGCCTGCCTGGAGGGCAGTTAATGCAGCCTTTCTGCCTTGCCCCCGAATTCCCTTCCCATCCCACCCCTCCCTGGATGGAAGAAGGCACACAGGGCTGCAGACCTCATCACACCAGGCATGCTGAAGGGCAAATACGCTTTAATGGGCCCCTGGGCCTTCAAATGCTCTCCCTGCTGAGCCTGGGATGCCCTCTTCCCAGCTGCACAGGAAGTGGGGTGGGTGGAGGAACACATGTGGACTGGCTCTTCCTCCTGCTCCAAAGGGTCTTGGATGATGCTGAGACCGCAGCTGCTTTTCTTCTCTCCCTGCAGCTAATCTCCTACCCCAGCAACTAGACTTTTCTCAGGGTGGGAAGGGGGATGCCTGGGCCTTTGGTACAGGAAGCTGACTTCAAATCAGCCACCTGTTCCTGCCTAAAATGGGTAAGAGGCTATGTGCAAAACTCTGCCAGGGGCAGTGGTGAGATAGGAGGGATAGTAGCCTGGTCTTGTCTGGGAGAGGACTGGGCAGACCCTGGGAGCCAGGCTGGCTCTTTCGCTCAGGCCCATAGCCTCCAGCTCGGGCTCACTGAAGACAGCTGGTGGTTGAGGCAGTGAGGCTGGGTCAGCTGAGGCGCAGGGGAGTGCCAGATGGCTAGGTGGGCGGCCAGACCAGCTCGGCACCCCTCCCTGCAGCATGGGTCACCAGTCCCGCTCGGCTGGTTCTCGGTAGGGTAGGCCTAAGAGCCTGAAGACGTCCTTCTCAGTGGGAGTGGGCAGCACTCGGCCAGGCCCCACCTTGACGCCTTGGCTGTTCCGGACCACAGCCGTGGTGAGGGCACGCTCCGACAAGCTCATTCCCTTGGTCTTGGCCAGAGCCCGCATGGATCGGTTGAAGTGGGCAGAGCCGGTGAAGTAGAGCAGGGCACAGGCAAACTCGCTGTAGGGCACAACGATGATGTCCAATCGCCGGTGGCGCCACCCTGGACCCAGGAGCCGACACACACCCAGGTACTTCTGTTGCTGGCCATTCTCTTCCTGGCTCACCAAGTCATCTGTGAGGAAGCCTGGCCCAACACAGAAGGACCGATAGGAAGGCAGAGAGCCAGACCCAGCACCGACCCACCCTCCCAGGTCTCTCCTAATCTCCTGGGTTCTCTGCTCCCATCTTGCCCTTTCAGTTGCTGTGTGACCCCTCTCTGGGCCCATCTCCTTTTTTTTTTTTCCTTTTTGTCTTTTTTCGTGTCCGGCAACGGATCGCAACCCTCAGTGTTGTGCCCATACCGGACTGGGACAGGCAACGGGATCGCAACCCTCAGTGTTGCTCCCGCACCCCACTCAGCCAGTGAGCGGGAACCGGTCTGTATGTGGGATCCGAACCCTCGGCGGGAGCGCCGCCGCGCTCCCAAGCGGCGCACTGTAGCAGTGCGCCACCGGGCCATGGGCCCATCTCCTTATCACTAAAACATGGAGAGCAATTCTTCCCCATTTCCCGAGTGTCACAGAAAGATCAGATGAAACACTCGACATGCAGGTATTAAGCGCCTCCGTGCAGGTGTCAGGGAGGTGGTTCATCTCTCCCTTGAGAGGACTCTGGCCACAAGAGAGGTGGCATTCTTACATAGCACCTTTCCAGTGCTTCCTGCCTAGAGAGGGCAACTTTAAGGCTCTCCCTCCTTGAGGCCCCCAGCCCTGTCCTGCCCTGTCAATCTGCTCACCCAGAGATAGAGTTTATACCTCGCTGACGGAGGCTGTCGAGGAGGCGACTGAAGATGTGCTGGTGGGAGCGGCCATCCGGGTGAGTGATGAGCACGTCCACATCACCGCAGGTTGCCTTCCCCCGCCGGTACGAACCACATGCCACACACAGCAGCCCAGGGTTGAAGGCCTGGGCTGCTTCCCGGACCTGGGAAAGAGCAGCAAGGGGCTGTGGGCCTCTAGCTCTGTGGGGAGCTCCTCTCCCATGCAGTGTGAGGGCCTTCCCTGACCCAGGGGCCCACACTCCCAGCTTATGCCTCAAGGCAGGCCCCAGGCGCCTGCTGCCAGCCTGAGGGAATCTACCCCGAGGAGCTGCTGTTCTCCAGCTTCACTAGAACAGAAGAGAGGAAACAGACCACATGGCAGGTGGCAAACCTGAGGAGAGACAGGAGATGCTCACTCAGCTTCTGAATAGAACTTGCCCTCTAGAGCTCTTTAAGAGCAGAGAGACACATTTTCTCTTTGCTCCTGCCCCAATCCACGCCTGTGAAACTCCACTTAGGAGTTTCCATGTGTCTGGAAGCCCTCAGGCAGGTCTCCACAGCCCCACGTAACTATGGATTTGGAGCTAAAGGCAGTGTGTGAGTTGGGGCTTCAGGCCTGAGCAGGTGGCTGGCAGCGTGCCCTGGGCCCAGGCCTGGGAGAAAAAAACAGAAATATAACTGCACTTGTGGGAAAGGAAAGGATGCAAAGAGGGGGGCAATTCTGAGCCAATACCCCGTCTTTCTTGGTGGGGAGGGAGCTAAGACAGAGGGGACTGTCAGCTGAAGGATCATCCCTCACTGAGGGGAAATAAACCTATTAGCCTCCACCCCAGAGACACTGAGGCCTTTGATATGTACGTGGCCTCCCGCCTCCTCCCCAGGACACTGAGATTTCTAGGCCCTGGATACCCTCAGCCAGGACACCTCAATTCTCCTGACAGGCAGCTCTGTTAATCCCCTCATTCCCTTCTTGAGCCTCCCAAGAGAATGGGAGGAGAAGGTCCAGATGAGTAATCCCATCAAAACTTGTAAGGCTGGAGCCCTTAAATGGGGGCCACAGGAGGCCAGGTGGGAAGCCTCTTCTGTTCCAGTGGGCTAGGGCATTCTCTGTGACTGGATACCGTGGCTGAGTGACGGTGTCATCACTAGCATCAAGGCCTGGTGATGGGTGGACAAAGTGGCCTGTCCATCCATCCTGTGCCGGCCTCATACCCAGGGCCTGCAGTTGAGCTGGAGGCTGATTTCAACTAGGCTGGGCCAGAGTCACCATGGAGTCCCACCTTATCAGAATCCTTGAGCAAAGTAAGCAAGCCCTGCTCATGACCTGCAGCAGCTAATCCTAATGCCACACCCGGCCCTAAATGTACTTAAGGAGACCCAAGTCTTTTGCAGAAGATCCAAACTCATTCTTGGGTCTGACTAGATGACCCCCTCCCACAAAGACAACCCCTACCTTTAAGGAGCCCTCCTTATGGAGAGCGAGAATCTACTTTATCTTCCCCTACCATACTATAAGCCCAGTTCTGATGATGAAACCAGTGACGGGGTTAGAGGCCTAATCTCTAACCCAACTGTAAACCAAACCCTAATCTGGGCCAGAACTTATTTCTTAGGCAACTACAAATCTTAAATCAAAAGCAACCAAAACTGGGCCAGCTGGTTAGAGCACAGTGTTATAACACCAAGTCAAGGGTTCAGATCCCCGTACCCACCAGCTGCTTTAAAATGAAAAAAAAAAAAGGCAACCAACACTAAGAAAAACCTGCTCCTGAGGCCTAACCTTAACTCAATCCTGATCAACCTTTCTTCCAACGCCAGTCCTGATCTTACTGGCACTGTGCTCTCATACCATCTCTAACCTAAACCCTGAACCAGCTTTGAGTGGGCTTCAGAAGGTCCACACAAGTCGAGAGAGATATAAAACTGCACGTTTATGCATTTTGCGGGGAAAGAGACCATAGTTTTTATCAGGTTCTTAAAGAAGGTTGTGAATCAAAAACACATTAAGAATCCCTGCCCTGACCCACCCTAACTAATCTAGCCCAATTCAAACTGCAATATCCTTAAGTAATTCAGACCATACTCCGCCTCTAATCTAGCCCTAACATTAAGCCAGTCCTAATGCTATTCTAACACCTAATCCGATCTGAACTCTACCTGACCACTGAGAACTCTAATCCAGAAAGCTGGTGTTGCAGCTTTTCCTCCTAAAGCCTCCCAACCTGGGCCCTTCCCTGGGCCTATGGCTTCGGTCTCAGCTTGTTCTTTCCCAAACCTCTGGTGACCCACAGCTTCCTCTGCCTGCTGGGCTCCCCAGGTAAGGGATCACGGGTTCCTGGCTTTGAGCCAGACCCTCAGAGCAGGGCCTAGCTCTCTTCACTGCCCTGGGACAACTGCTTACTGTCTGCTCGATCTCTGTAGCCTCTTCCCTAGGCATGCGTTCCAGAAAGTCATCATAATACTTCAGGCCAATGGCCTGCTGGGTAGTCAGGGAGGCCTGACTGTGGATGTCTTCCAGACTTCGGAAGCCCTGGAAAAAAGCAGCCAGATGGGGAGGCTATGAGGATCCAGGACCAGTGAAGAGGTATGAATGAGCACACACATAAGCGTCATTACCCCAGACTCTAGGGGAGACCCGAGGCAGGACCAACCCCAGGGGTGGTTTGGTCTGTACTCAGTGGGATGAGGGAAAGGAGGGGGCATGGAAGACATGCCACAATCCAGCCCTTGTACAATCCTAAAATAGTGGTTTATGATCCCAGGAGTCTGGGGATAGGTCTGGGCACCTTCATTGTTACCAAGATCCCTAGCTGATTCTGGGCACAGGCAAGTCTGGGAACTACTGCTCTGGACATGCAGCCCCAAGGCCTGGTCTCCTCAGGAAGACCCTTGCTGATCTGGGGGACAGAAAATCATAGTTCTTGTCCCTGCCTCCATCTCAAGGATACCAAGCAACAGGGCTGTTCTGGGAGCTGGGAGAGAGGTATATGTGTGCCCTGGTCCCCTTGAAAAGTGGTTTCCCTATAGTCAGGGTCCATTCTCATCAGAGCACAGGGTAAGAGAACTGCAGGGCAGGAGCTCTGAGACACAGCAAAACTGAAGTGGGATCTGGGCCAGGGTGTGACCTGATGGTACCACATCTTGGCAGTCTTGGTCCCAGCACCCCAAATGTTGGAGAAGAGCTCCAAAACAGGCACGCTCTCGCTGATATGATCCAGCTTCCGCAGATGCCCGCTCTCCAGAATCTCTATGATCTTCTCGGCCATCCGCTTCCCAATCCCTGGGATGCTGCAGGCCTCCTAGAGGAGAAGGCATAGGCAAGAAATAATAGTGAGAAGAAGGGCAGGGTAGAACCAGCAGTAGGGAAGCTGACTTCTTCAGCAGATGTCTGAGTAAAAATCAGCCTGGCAGGATGGTAACTACACGGCTGCGTGAAGCTCAGGCACAGATGAAGATGACAAGTTTGGATGAAATGGGGGCTGGGTAATCTATCTTCTGGTTCCTAGAAGGATGGAGACCAGCAATAAGAAGTAGGGAACAATGAGGACACTAGTCACTGTCACCATCACCCTCACCATCATCATCATCGCAACAGTGAGATCTCACATCTACTGAGGGCTTGTGTGTATCAGGGCCTGTGCTACAGGGACCATCGCATTTCATTTTCATAAGAACGCTGTGAATGGCTTACTATTATTAGTCCTTTTTTACTGATGAGAAAACTGATGCTCAGAGAGTTTAAGCAACTTGCCTAGAGTCACACACTTAAGTGAATGGTGGGAACCAGAATTCAAACCCTGGTCTGTTGGGCTCCAGAGTCTAAACTTCCTTTAAAGAAAAGTTTTTATCATGTAAAAACTTCAAAAGTAGAGAGAACAGTATCACGAACTCCCAAGTACCTACCCACCACCCAGCTTCAACAATTATCAAGATTTTGTCATCTGCTTTCATCAATCTCCAATTTCTTTTCTTTTATGCAAATCCCAGACATCTTAAATTCTTAACTACTATACCTGACCCCCATGGGTGACTAGTGCCTCCACTAACCCCTGCCGTCCCAACCACACTAGCCCCAAGGTACCTTGTAGGAGGTAACAGGCTTGTGGAAGCTCTTGAGGGCATTGATGGCCTTAGCATAGCCCAGGGCCCTCCACTTGTCTCCCTGAACACCGTAGGCTTTGGCTAGCACTTCCAGCTTCTCTGTGATGTGGGAGTTGTGGTTGGTCACCTTCTGGCTCGAAGCCTGTGCACAGACCCACTTATCCAGGCCTTCAGGAGCTGGGCTAGGCTCATAGTCTCCCTCAAGGCAGGTGGGGTAGTGGCCACTGATCAGGGCTTCCAGATCAGCTGCACTAACCCGGGTCTCTTCCCCATCACTGGTTTCATCATCAGAGGTGGGCTTGTGATAGGGAAGAAGAAACAATAAATTCTTGCTCTCCATAAGGAGGGCTTCTTGAAGGTGGGGGTTGTCTGTAGGGGTGGGAGTCTCCTAATCAGACCCAAGAGTGAGGCTGGGTCTTCTGTATCAGATTTGGGTCTCCTTAAATATGGGGCCATGTTCCATTTGGCTACTCCTAGTGCTCAGCTCTGAGATCCCCACTGGTAATGTGGTAGATAAGGTCTAGGTGAATACAGGGTGATGGGTGTTAGGAAGAGCTAAATGATTTCACAATAAAGACAGCCCTCCTTTCTCAGGGGCCTGGGACTTTCTGAACAACCAGCCCGTCCTCTCTATTTCAATAATCTGGTTCCCAGGGGAAAGGGAGCTATAGGGGCGGGGAGGCTCCTGACCTGGGCTTGGGTACTTGATGCCTCTTCTGCTCTTTGGGGAGGAGATACAGGTTTGGTGGGAGAAGGGGGAGGAGAGAGGGCAGTCCCAAGCAGGGCCTTGTGGGTGCCAGGAGGAGTAGAAGAGTCTTGGTCCATTTCGCTAGGCTGTGGTGGGTCCAAGTACCTGTGGGGATGGTGATAAGAGGTTAAGACAACAAAGGCCTCACCCCATCTCTACCCCAATACTTCTCTGCTTTGAAACCTTAGTTTCTTAATGTGTCCAGTTAAGAAAATGATGGTTACTTTTAACAACAAGGAGAAAGCTCAAGATGCTGCCAGAAAATATTTGAGAAAAGACTAGGACCAGTCCACCTGTCAGGGATGAAGATGCTGAATCCAGCTGTATCCATTAGCCTTCTCTTCTGCAGGCACAAGCTCAGCCAGGCTGACTTCACCAGCTGAGCACCCACGGGCAGCCGGGGCCGTCTAAGGAGGCGGAGGGCCCGCTCACAATCTATGCCTTCATCCACCACAATGTGAGTGACACCTGGGGCCTGGGCAGAGCATATCTGGCCACCATGCTGGACAATCTGCTTCTCAAACAGTTCTGCCCGCGCTCGTCCAATGCCAGTGGGCACAATGTGGGCTCGCAGAGAGTTCAGCCACTCTGTGGAGGGGACAGCCAGATGTTTATTGTTATAACTTTCAGATATGATCTGAATGAACCACTTATAGTACCCTCCCCCCATAACAATCATTTTTCTTCCATCCACACAGCTGCCTTTTAGGGATTCTACCATATGCATACAGCAAATTTCCTCATGGCCACCACTAGAACATAAGGGGCAAGGATTTTTATATGTCCTGTTTCCTGGTGTAACCTAGAACAGTGTCTGACACATTGTAAGTAACTATATCTGTTAAATGAATGCCTCCTCCCTCTCTGTTTTTGTTTTTTAAAAGGATGACCAGTAAGCGGATCTTAACCCTTGACTTGGTGTTGTCAGCACCATGCTCACCCAGGGAGCTAACCGGCCATCCCTATATGTGATCCGAACCCATGGCCTTGGTGTTATCAGCACCACACTCTCCCGAGTGAGCCACGGGATGGCCCCCCTCTCTGCTTTGAATCACTTTATCACTTATTCTTTAAACAAAGTACAAATGTTTCCTGCCATCACATGTTTCTTGCCCTCACAGTCTAGGAGACCTTATTCCTCCCATCCCTCCATCCCCATCCCCAAAAGCCTCCGCCACCTATATGTCAATTTGGCTGCAAAACAAGCCTGGGGATGCAAGGGGGATTTCTGTCCTGCCCTTCCCTTATCCCACCCACTGGGTACAGCCTCCTGGAGAGCAAAGGATTCTGGTCATTTCCTGAGGGACCAGGAAGTATTTTCTGATTGATGGGGGTTCTTGGAGTGGGGAAGAAGAAAATGCAGCAAGTGACCTGTCAAAGACAGGAGGCCAAGCCTAGTACAAGGCACGCAAACAGACTTGCAGGCCCTGGACAGGCAGAGTGAGCTCCAATATCTGATTCTGGACATGAACAATGTAGGGCTGAACAACAGGGAGGCCAAGGGTTCAAGCACATGAAGGTTCTGAGAATGGGTCGGCTCACCTCCTGCTTCTTCTCCTGCTTCCCTTTTGGGAATCTTTGCAAGTGCTTTTGATGATGGATTGGCAAGAATTTTCTTCCGCTTGGGAAATGCCTTCAAGATGCCTCTGGGGTCCATTGAAGTATGGCTCGATCCTGGCCTTCCTGTTTGAGAACTGGTCAGAGCAGCTGTCATGTGGAAATCCAGAACTGAAGCTCTCCAGCCCCTTTGCCTATGGAGGCAGGGTCTCTATTGATTAGGCCTTGGCGGCAGCAGCCAGTTCCCAGAGGTCTCACAAAACTCAGTTAAACTTCAGTGGTTTAGCCTAGCTCTAACTCACCAGCCTTTCAAAGTTAGAGTATTGGGGAAATGAGGGCAGCACTGGGACTACTGGGGGGCCTTTTGAGGGGAAGGACACGATATCTTTTCTTAAAGGGGTTGCTCTAGAGATTCAGGGCAGTGTCTGTCCCTGCTGCATCCCACCTCCAAAGGGCTTGACCAAAAGGGGATGCTAGGCTAGGAAATGGAGATACATATTTAGGAAGGTCTTAGTTTTCCAAAAGGACTGGAGATTGGGGGGAACCTGGGCGTAAACCCCATATAATCTTTCTCTACCTCCAATACAGACTCGCAGAGATAAACCTGGGAACGGGAGACGGGGGCATTGGGAAAGCCCTGCACCTGCTTCGGTCCCGGGCCTCTCGGCGTGGGGGTGCTCAGCCCCGCGGCTGCGGGGAGATGGAGCAAGGCCGCAGCAGGTGTTGAGCACCCTCCAGGGCTGGGGGAGTTTGGGCCACACAGCTGGGGATGGAGAAGGCAGGTGTGGTGCACCCGCCGCGGGCGCAGCTGTCGCGGGCCACGGACGCCCAGCTGGGGGCCGGAGGAGAGATGGAGTGCCCGTCCCGGCCCTAAGAGCCCCTCCCCACCCTCCAGATGCGGTCCCCGGGTGGGGTCAACAACTGGCCGACCTGGCCACCCGGGCGTGGGCAGGAGTAACTTACTTACCGGGGGAGCCAATGAAAGCGGACGAACGGGGTGAGGGTGGGGGTGGGGGGAGGAAGGGCAAATGCCCAGAATAGCTTCCGAGTCAGCCGGAAGTGACCGTCCGCGGAACGGTTGCCATGGTGGCGGCCGGGCGCGCTGCTGAACTGAGGGAAGATGGCGGTGACGGGCTGGTTGGAGAGTCTGCGGGCGGCCGAGAAAACCGCGCTGCTGCAGGACGGTAACTCGAGGCCCCCCGCGGGCTCTCTCGTGCTTTCCCCCAGGGTCCGGTCCGCGGTGCTGTCGCCTCCGGGAAGGGCCTCATAACCTGAGCAGAGGTGGGCGGCTGCGGCCATCAGCCAGACTAGGTCCTGCATTTGCAGGTGAGGAAACTGAGGCCCAGAGAAATGACGTGACTGGAACATACGTCTCTGGACACCCACTAGTTTTCCCTACACCTTCTCGTTCTGTTGCTAATAAATATCTCATTCTCTCATTTGCTCCTCACCGCTGTCCTGAGAGGCTGATAGTTTTCCATCCCGTTTTACAGAAGAAACTGAAATCCAAAGTTTTAGACTAGCCCCAGCTCGCCCAGGCAGTCAGTGGTACAACTGAGTCTTGACCTGGAATCCCGTGAACCTCAGTCTGGGGCTTCTATTGCTGAAGGCAGCCTGGTCATAGAGAAGCGGGAGACGTGAGCTCTAGCTCCGACTCTACCATGGGCTTTCCAGTCCGCCCCTTTACTTGTTTGGGCCTCACTTTCCTCATCTGTAAAATGAAGTGGGTGGGCTACCACTGTTATCTCTGAGGTCCTTGGCAGCTGTAATGTTTGTAAAGTGAATCTCCAAACGTTCCCTGGGTCTTTAGGGGAGAAAGAGCAAGGGCCAACGGCTGTGCCTGGAAGAAGTGGGCACACGGGTATGGAATCCTGGTTTTTCCCCACTCTAGGATTGGCTGATGTAGGGTCCCCTGTGCTTCAGGGGCCGTTTCTGAGCCCACTTGGCAGCCAGGATAAATTAGATCTGAATTTCTGAGACTTTCAAGGTAACAGGTGGGAACCTACATTCAGGAGCAGGGGCCAATCAAGGAAGCCTGGAGTTTGTGGAAATTAAAATCAGCTGCTCATTTGCTCATTCATTCACGCAACATTTATAGAGGCTTTTACTATGTGTCAAGCTCTATACTAGATCAGATGGAAAAAGACATATTTTCCCAGGAGTTCACACAGTAGTCAGGAAAAATATGTAAGAAGAATACAGTCATGCCGGCTGGCGGGTTAGCCCAGTTGGTTAGAGTGCAGTGCTGATAACACCAGGGTCAAGGGTTCGGATGCCCTCACGGACCAGCCTCCCCCCACCAAAAAAGGAGAAGAAAATACAGTCATGCACCTCATAATGATGTTTCAGTCAACGACAGACCACATTTATCACGATGGTCCCATGAGATTATAATGGCTGTACCATGTAGTCTAGGTTTGTAGTAAGGTATACATACCATGTAGGTTTGTGTAAGTACACTGGATGATGTTCGCACAATGATGAAATTGCCTAATGACACATTTCTCAGAATGTATCCCTATCATTAAGTGACGTGACTTTAACAGTATGTGTTAAATAGAAGTTGGAATCATGTATAAAATGCTATGAGAGCTCCCTTGAGAGGAAGATCCAACAGAACTGGTGATATTTCTGGATCCTAAAGAACTAATAGGTGTTTGCTAAGTGCAGATGGCGGGGTGGCTATTCAAGGAAGAATGACTCACATATCAGGGCATGGAGGTGTGAAGGTATGTGACTGATTATTAGAGGAATAACAAAATATTTAGTGATGCTAAAGCAGTCACCCAGTCAGTTAGAACAAACAACCTACACCGTCAGGTACTATATTAGGTGCTGGGATACAAGTGTGAATAAAAGAGTCCCTTTTGGGGCCGGCCTGGTGGCGCACTGGATAAGTGCCCCGCTTGGGAAGCGCGGCGGCCCTCCCACCCGAGGGTTCGGATCCCACGTACAGACTGGTTCCCGCTCACTGGCTGAGCAAGGCGCGGGAGCAGCGCCGAGGGTTGCGATACCGTTGCCGGTCCCCGGTCCGGTGCGGGGGCAACACTGAGGGTTGCGATCCGTTGCCGGACACAGAAAAAGACAAAAAAAAAAAAAAAAAAAAAAAGAGTCCCTTTTGTCAAGGAGCAGTGAGGAGAAATGATGGAAAATAAAGAGAGATGACATAAATTGGGGCATATTGTGATCTCTTATGCTATCCTGAAGATTTTGGACACTATCTCACAGGACAGTAGTTTTTTTGTTTGTTTTTATTGTGGTAAAAAGTACATAGCATAAAGTGTACCATTTTAGCCATTTTTAAGTGTACAGTTCTGTGGCATTAAGTATGTTCACATTATTGTGCTACCATCAGCACCATCCATCTCTAGAACTTTTTCATTTTCCTCAACTAAAACCATATACTCATTTAGCACTAACTCTCCATTCCCTCCCCTGCAGTCCATGGCAACCACTGTTCTACTTTCTATCCCTATTAATTTGATTACCTTAAGAACCTCATATAAATGGAATCATAAAATAGTTATCCTTTTGTGAGGAGTTTATTTCATTTAATATCTTCAAGGTTCATCCCTGTTTTGGCATGTGTCAAAATTTCCCTTTTAAGGCTGAGTAATATCCTATTGCAGAATATACCACATTTTGTTTATCCATTCATCTGTTGATGGGCACTTGGGTTGCTTCTACCTTTTGGCTACTATGAATAATGCTGCTCGGAACATGAGTGTACAAATATTAGTTAGAATCCCTGCTTTCACTTCTTTTGGTCATGTCATGTTTAAACAAAAAAAAATTTTTTTTTTAAAGATGACAGGTAAGGGGATCTTAACCCTTGACTTGGTGTTGTCAGTACCACGCTCACCCAGTGAGCTAACCGGCCATCCCTTTGTGGGATCCGAACTCATGGCCTTGGTGTTATCAGCACCACACTCTCCCAAGTGAGCCACAGGCTGGCCCTAAACAAATATTTTATTAGCCAGGATTTTGTTAAGTTATTTTGTTAGTAACATCACAAAATGATGTCATTAGGGTTTTTTTTTCCCCAAACCAAAAAAATAATACAGTGTTGAATATATGGATATGCTTTGTCAAACCTGCAGATTTACCCTGCTGGTGTGTGTGTGGGGGAGAGTAGGGGATAGTTAACTATATAAAAGTTAAATACTTGTTTAGGAAAAACCCACTTTAAACAGAGTTGAAAGGCAATTGAAATTGAGAATGTTGGGGCCGGCCCGGTGGCGCACTGGATAAGTGCGCCGCTTGGGAAGCGCGGCGGCGCTCCCGCCCGAGGGTTCGGATCCCACATACAGACTGGTTCCCGCTCACTGGCTGAGCAAGGCGCGGGGGCAACACCGAGGGTTGCAATCCCGTTGCCGGTCCCCGGTCCGGTACGGGGGCAACACTGAGGGTTGCAATCCGTTGCCGGACACGGAAAAAAGACAAAAGACAAAAAAAAAAAAAAAAAAAAGAAATTGAGAATGTTGGCAACATGTGTGACACATGGTTAATATATGCAAAGCTCAATGAGATCAATAAGACAAAGAGGAATACTCAAATAAAATAGGCTAATGCATAAAAAGGTAAGTCATTAGAGAAATGACCAGTAAACCCTTAGAACAATGTTGAACCTTACAAATATTTAAAGCCACATAAATTATCTTAATATAGTTATTAGAGCATGGATTTTGGCCTCAAGTAAGTTTAAACCTAGAGCTGTCATTTCCTAGCTTTATGATCTTGAACAAGTAGCATGACCTTTAAGCCTCAATTTTCCTCATCTGTGAAATACAGGTAATGGACACTCATAGGATTATTGTGAGAATAAAAGTTGATAAAACACAGAAAGTGCCTAACTGATAGTAGACACTGCATCCTGCCTGGACTGAAACCAAGGGGAGAAGATAGTCAGGCCAAACACTCTTAGCTACTCACAGGCAGAACCTTGTACCTGCTCCTGACAGGAAAACTCCTTACAGCTCCTGTGAGCCACCTACATGATTAAGGGTGGTATAACCTAGGGGCCTGCCGAGAGGCCCTGCAAATTTGGGGGTGAGTATTCCTGGAATACAAATTAGGGATGATGCAAGGAAACTGTGTCCCAGAGGAGTGAACTGGACAGGAAAAAGTCACCTTGGGGCTCTTATTCATCACACATATGTAGGGTACCTGTTTACTGGGCTTTAGTGCCCTGCTATTAAGTCTTACTGAGGAGCTGACCTATATCCACTTACCTATGTATAAAAAGAAAGAGGAAGTTACAGAGCTACTCTTAAGCAAATACTTACGATTATACTACCTAGGTAGAGGAGTTGGGCTGAGAGACTTCCTTGGGTTCTTCTGTTCTTTCAGTGCATAGCACATCAATATTTATTCATTCTTTCAATCAGTATTTATGTGATCTCCTAATATATGCCAGGTACTATGTTTAGTAACTATAGGGAAACCATAGGCATGGGGGTAAAACCCCTCCTATCTAGTAGAAGAGACAGGAAGTAATCAAAGAATCACACAAATGGGTGTAAAATCGTAACCTAAGATAGTACCATGCAGAAAATACATGGGGACTAACCATCATGTAGCTATGTGATAGGAATGGCCTAGAGATGTGCAGAAGAAGGCGGAGTAATGGCATGGCTGGAGCAAGTGCTTGGTCAGGAAACCCAGTTCAATATCCTAAGCACATAGGCTTGGTTTTAGGAACTGGGAGCACTCTGGACCTGTCTGCATCTCTCACTGGTCATCCTTGGCACCTTCCTGTCACAGCTTCCAGTTGGAAAAATACATGGAGCTGTCATCTCAAAAAAAAAGGAACTGGGGAGAGAAAGATAAATATGTCATTCATGGAGACACGTGCTTTTGAAAGTTTCATAATATGTGATAAATGCTCCATTATGGATATGAATAATTAGGCACAAATGAGGAAGGAAGTGATTAATTCTACCAAGGTGGCTGGAAGTGATAGTTAAGGAAGACTTCCCTGTGGAAGTGACATTTGAGCTGTATTTTGAAGGGCAAGGAAGAATTCCACAGATGGGAAGAAGTATCATTGCTGGTACAGGAAACAGCAGAGAAAGCTTCAGAAAGGAAGTAAGTCCCAGGACAGGTCTTAAAGTAATGGTGGATGCTGGCTGGCAAGTAGTATATGGGAAGCTTCAGAAGGAATTCTGAACACTCCCAAGGTTGT